GTCATGTTCTTTTTTTTTCTTTTACCTCAGGGACGTGGAAAGACCTCATTGTGAAAGGAATTTCTCGAAGAACCAAGAAGATATTTTGCTGATCATATGATCTGCCGGCCTGAAACTGCAGGAATAGAAATCGGACAGTCCATGTTTAGTTGATAACGTGGCTTATTATTGTTTTGAGAAAGGTCACTACTTTAGATTTAGATAGATTGTATGAGTTATGCACAAATTGTCTGAATATGCCATAGAAAGTTTATATAGGCAGCAACAGTCTAAACTAGAAGACTCATATCTTCTCATACTGTTTGTGTGCCTTCCCTCATACAATAAGGGATTTATAAACATATCAATGTTCCCATAATCCCATCTATCTATTATATACTAAAAGTCCATTAATCTCCCTACAAACGCTCCTAAATCGCCACATGGCAATTTTCAATCTAACCGTTAAGTTTCACTTAAATTGGTGGGCCTATTATTTTACACCATTAGATTAGATCTACTTGAAAAGTCATTGCTACACCCATAACGTATAAGCTTTATACATGAGAAAGTTTTACGAGAAAAATTAAAGTATATTCTGATCGGATATAAACCCATACGTACTGCTCGCTTAAAAAAAAAAACAAACAAACATACGTGCAGCTATAAAACCAAAAAAAAGTACTACATTATACATTGAAGCCGTATATACCGGAAAATCATGTCCATACGAGTGAAACCGCTCAAATCTACGTACGTACGCACAATTAAAAAAAACAAAAACTTTAGGTACTTTTATTTAAAAAAAACGAACGTACATACGCGTAGACAAAACCAAGAAAAAAAAATGTACGTATGCGTAGACAAAAAAAACAGATAGTTTTTTAAAATAGTATTTTCTATAGTAGAAAAACAAAACTTATTACTTCACAAATATGGTAAAAAAACGTACAATAAAAAATATATGATTTGAAAATATATGTTTTCAGCTACGCGGGCATTCTTTAAAAAGTTGATCTAACAATATATACAGTGACTGACTTTATTTATACATGCAAGTGAAGTGGTACTGGAAGAAATAATATATAGTCACTTTTCTTTTATAATTTTTCATATACGTTTGAATGACATGCATAGGATAGTAAATGGAACATGGAAGAATATACATGTATAGGATAGTAAATAGAACATGGAAGAATATACATTTTATGAGTGAAGTAGATAACTTAAGTATGAATTCTAATTGTGATTTTTATCATAAATAACACAATGGTCCAAATAGATAAAAAAAATGAAGGTATGATTTAAAAGTTAAAAATTATAATGAGTTAAAATATATTGTTACAAATAAATATATAATTCAGAAGGTTGTGGTTATTTAAAAATTATTGTTGCAAATATTTTCATAAAGAGAAAAAGGGAGAAAATGTAATCAAGAGGATAAACTTCCTACAAACGCTTCTAATCCGGACATAGTACCCTATAAATGCTCATAGACCACCATGTGGTACTCTAATAAATCATAGAAATTGTATAAAATAAGAAAAAATCTCGACCAATCGGTTTTCATTTAATTTGGTGGACCCATTATTTTCAACTATTAGATCTATCTTAAAACTACAAAATAAATTTATTTGTAAAAAGGCCCATGTCGTATTGGCACGACCGGCAAAAATACATGCACGTAGGTATGTAGGTATTCCTTCTTAAGAAAAGTACGTACCTACGTAGAGTATGTACACAGCTATTCCTATGAACAGTGCGTATACACACCGCGTCCCACATCCTTATTTTTTTTCTTCTCATCATTTGGATTAGATGGAAAACCAAACTAATAATTTAAACTAATATCAACTATGCTTTGAGTTGTAAAAATATATGCTATTTCGAGTTGTATTCAAATTAGGCGCATGTCATCGAAACACCCATAAAAAATATAAATAAATTGAAAGTATAGATTATGTGATAGTTAAATTAGACTTACATTTTCCAAAATAAAAACAACTTCAAGTGTGTGTAGAATTTCAAAAATTACTCACTCTCTCTTGTAAAAAATACTGATATGGAAAATGATGTTATAAATTTATCAGAAATATTTTTTTATGTATTATGTGTTTACTCTATTCATATATTATTAGAAAATTAAAGATCAAATATATTCATTTGACACCACGTCAATATCTTTTTTCTCCTACTTAGCCTTCGTTCGATCTAGCTCATTGACTTAGCGTATCCAGGGCACACGAAAAGTCACAAGTCATTAGCACAAGATTAATCGAGTATTAAATATTAAAAGCTTGAAAATGGATTTATTTGTATTTTTAGAAAACTTCTATAATAAAAAATATTTTGTAAAATATGCACCGTTTAACAATTCGGTAAATATGGTCATGATAAATAATGAAGTAGCCACTCCGATAAGCACTTTAGAACTTAACCATAAATTTATTAATTATGCACTAAAACTAAATATGTAGTGTATAATATACTTTGTGAATCTAGAATAGTATAATATAACAATCGTATGTCCCCGATAAATTCTATGTAATAAGTTCTATATACAAACCAGTGTCAACAATCGTCAAGTTATATTGTTTATAATACATCCATGCACAATGCACTTAATAATTAGTTGACATCCAATAAGCACGTGCGTCATCAAGCACTGAAGATATATGATGATACTTAGTGGTAACCCATTAATAAAAAAAATAATAGATAAGTAGAGGATGACACAAAATCACAACAAACAATAGTTGACTACAAGTAGACTAAGAGTTTAAGCAATAGCGTTCCTATACTTCTACAAACACCTGTGAGATGTCATGTGATGCTCTAATAAATAGGAGGAAATTTAAGAAAAAAATATAAGGAGAAAACAAAACATCTACCCATCGATTTACACTTAAACCGATGAATCCATTATTTTCAACCATTAAATTAGATTTATTCAGATAAGCCCTTGCTTCTATAAACTAGCTAATCCCTCTCTATGCACGTACATATACAAGAGATGACAAAAATAAAAAAAAAAGAAGTGCGTGTATATATGCACGTACATATACGAGATGTCAAAAATAAAAAAGAAGTATGTGTATATGGTCCACCACGTCTAGTAGTTTTCAATTTCTTTCTTTGTAGCCCTAAAGTTCTTCTCAAATTATACATATATGTAGCGACCACTCTTTACGAGGTTGTCGAAGAAGCCACGCTGCCATGGCGCCGCTTCATGTCACCCTCGCCAATTTTCTTGAAAATATTTTTTTGACCAACGATATAAAACGCAATCATAGGCGGTTGTTTAAACGTGTGCACACCCACCCTATGAATACACATACGCACACCCTACCTCCTATGAGAGAGAAATATTTGTCAAAAAAAACATGAAAAAGAACGAACATACGAGAGACTACCATTCGGGAAAAAAAAACTTACGTACATACGTACAATAAAAAATGTCATATGGAATCATATTTTATCCCTTTTAATTATGTCGTTCTCATATAAATTGTGTTAACAATTAGTACAAATAATTTTGACAATATAGAGTATTTCTTTGTACATTACCCATGAACATGCGCAAGTGAATTAGATGTATAATAAAAGAAAAAAAACATCAAAACTCATATTATGTTTGCAAAGGATGATGATAGGTAAGTTTACATATAACCAAAACAAAGTGATTTTTTGTTTGAATATGATAGACACTATCATTTACCTTATCAAATTCACGGTATAAATATTTCCTTCTTTTATGGAAAGGTTACGAGGTAATCTACTGTTCTTATAGTTAATATGATGATATATGACTTTTTTCAGATTTTTTTATATAAACATAAAATAAATTGCCCGCGTATCTGCACGGGCTACCTTCCTAGTTAAACAAAAAAGAGGCTGCTTTTTTTAATAGTAAAACTATAAGTTCATAACCCCTGGCCTCTGCGCCAACCAGAGATTAGCTAATCGGTTATTACAACTAAAAAGCTAAAACCAACTAGTGTTCTTCCCTCAAGATTCCGAACCTCACATCTCTTGTTTTCCGCATACACACTTCCCAAACTACTAAACAGTGTGTTTTTTTGTCAGAAAAGTTTCTATACAAAACTTGCCGTGAAAATCATATTAATCCATTTTTCATTTTTTTTAAGATAATACTTAATTGATCATGTGTTAATTTGTCGCTCCATTTCACGTATGAATTGGAGTTCCCAACCCTTTCAAAAGAACACAGCCGACTTCGTTAGAAACTGCTTTCGGGATTAGATTCCCTGTAGAACGCGAAACGAGACGTTGCATTAGCACATGATTAATAACAAGGGAGTAGCCAACCCAAGAAGCACTTTAGAAATCAGCCAAAGGAATAATGTAGTCCTCAGGGCATCTAAAAAACTATGAATAAAGAGCTAATTGATTCAGAAGCCAAAAATAACAAAACAAAGAAATGTCAAATGTTGCTTTTCAGATGATTGTGATGCAAGATCTGCTTACATTGTTACTGAAAATGATTTCCTGGTAGCTGCATACATTTCTGAAGAAATAGGGTAAGAACACAATAAAATATTTAGCCAAACTGAAAACCACTACGGCAGATTGCATAATTCATGCAAAATAGGGATAAGTGCATCATATGTATGACATAGAAAAAAAATGCCATTTGCCGTATGGAACTTGTACCTACAGGATTAAATACCAGGACGACCACAGATCGAGTTTGCTTCATTCAGATAGTCATATGAGTGATGAAGCATGCATACTTGTTTTTTTATTTAAATCATTAAAATAATTGGTATGGGATAGGCATAAAAGGACAGTTATATTCTGTCAAGCAGCGATCACGCTTATTTATCCAGGCAGTAACGCCACTTGATCGATAAATATAACCAATAAGCAAAAAAGCAAGTTCTGATGAACCTCAATATATAATTCATCATTTGGGTCAAGCTAACACTACTCCAAATGATCCATAAGTTTCTGTGACATCACATGTTTCAAAAATATTAGCAGCAACCCAAAAATCCTCAAATAATCAACCAATCATTTCCTTGGCCTAAATGGCTAAACCTGTGAAAATGAAATCATACACCCCTCAATGCATATAGCATTACTTAACATTATTTGGACTAACAAATCCCTAAGTAAAAACGTTCCAAGATTACAGCTTGAAGTTCTACCATCTGAATCTTCCATCCGCAGCACCCAGAAACCCCTCAAAGTACTACTGCTGTTATGAACTCAGTATTTTTAGCCAAAATATTAATTATTGATTATATATTCTAGAAGCTGAAGCAAAAACCTATTCTTATATACACCGGTCCATATTTTTCTTTTATTTAATTCGAAACCCAAGGACAACAGCTCAGCCCCAGAGTGAACCAACCCACTAGTTTGACCTGATGCAGAGTTGAATTTCCTGTTGTATATAAAATATAGCAGCGAAAAAAAAATAATAAAAAAAAAACTAGCAACATGCTGATGCAGATATCCTAGTTCCAGACTTGGTGTATATATATTTCATACTCGCATTTGCAAATAAGTACACAGATAGATCATGCAATGATGGCGCAAAAGATGATAGAAGATGATTGCGAGAAGGTTTATGTGGCAATTAGCCCCATCCAAAGCTTGTGCCCGCCAATGCTGCTGTGGACGTTGCGCAACACCCCACCGGGGAAGACGGTGATAGTGCTCCTCCGCATCTACCGACCAGCCAGAACCAACCTGATTCCTAGTATGCATCCTCCCTCTCTGTGAATTGTGTGATTGTTGTAGTGTGTTCTTTGACAGTACAGTTGCTGCTCAGCACAAACAAGACTACCTGCTGGTTTTTATACGCAAGAGGCGAGAACTGGTGAGAAAATGCTAAGAGATTACCTGCATGTCTGCGAGTCTCAGAAGGTGAAGTTTAATTGCTTCCAGTGTATGTATTCAATTGTGAGAAATGTATCCAGACAATTTCACAGACATGTTACATCTCTTCTTCTCCAGTTCCATGCTGAGGTGTTAACAGCTGAGAAGGAGAATGTTGAACTTGGTCTAGTAGAGCTAGTTTCAGAGCTCAAGATCACAACACTCATCATGGGAGGTGGCCTCTATAGGTATACTCATGAGGTTGCCGACTTACTCAGAATCACATATGTTTCTAATGCCAAACTGCCCTGGTTTCTGTAGAATTGTATCAAATTTTCATTGTGACAACTCTTGATTCAAAATCATCAGACTCCACTTTTTAATGACCAGGAAGGAGGCATGAAAAATATGATGCTCACAGATCGCACGATCACCGTGTTGGAAAAGGCTGATCCATCATGCAAGATCTTTGTTCTCAATAGAGGAAACCTATTCTTCATCAGGTACCTGTTTCCCAGAAGCAGCACTAGATCAATCTTTTTTACGCGTAATCTTATTTGAGTTGCTCTCCAAATGTGTCGATGGCAATGAAAGATACATAACGCAGGGAAAGGCGTATCACCATCTCCACATCCACGAAAAATGGGTTTGCTCCTGTGGAAGTTTCTGATTTCCCCACTAGCAGCTACCATTTTTTAGGATGGCATCCGAATGATTATGCCAGTCGCAGCAGCATATCTTTGTCACTCCTCTCAGAAACTCAGAGCATGACAGACGACGGATGCGACTCAGAACAACTTGATCTAATGCTGGAGTACTTGCATCCGGGCTTCGATAATGACAGCTTCAGAATTGTCAGCAAAGAATCCCTCATATACCTTGACAAGATAGCAAACCAATCAACACAATCTGGCCATGCACAGGACTTGCACCAGGCTCCATTTGATGATCGTTGTCACTGCCACTTCATTCCTGATATGGACCGGATTCTTGGCATTCAATCAAGGAACGATGACGAGGCACGATGGAGGAACTGCATCAAACATAAGATGACTGAGTGGCTTCATGAACTGCGGTATGTCTGCACAATAGTGTTATCTGCACACAAGCAACTCATGCAGTGGCATCTTGCTGTCCATGATAGCCTGGCACTTGACAAACTATCAAAAGCAGTAAAAGAACCCATCACTCAATTACTCACCTTTGCATCTACAGTTAGTAAGATGCATGGTTCACCAGAGAAGTTCTTTCACATGCTGCACATGCACCAGGCTCTGACAGAAGCGTATCCAGTTCTACAGGAAGTGTTCTCAGGAGAGCTCAAGGAATCCTTTACTGGTGAGCTTCACAAAATTCTTCACACCCTAAAAGATGGTACAAAAGAAACACTTGATCAGTTAAGAGTCCAAATTCAGTCATATAGTTCAGAAGACATGCCAGAGGGAGGCGGCATACATTTGGTCACAACTTACCTCATCAGATATATCATGTCACTAACACAAAACACAGGTTCACTGGATGCAATTCTTGCTCACAGTTACGAAGACCATGCATTAGCAGAAGAGAGGATGATGAACACATCAGGTCACCTGATATCTATGCTGATATCTGATCTTACATCCATGCTCTACAGGCTGTCTAAGTTGTACATGTCTAAATCTGAAGGTTTACAATGGTTATTCCTTCTGAACAATGAGCATTTCATACTTCGGAAAATTGAAGAAGCAGATATAAGGTCGATGCTACCAGCTGATTGGATTCAAAATTACCAGCACAGAGTCGAGCAGAACAAAGTGAATTATATAGAAGCAACATGGGCTCTGACCCTGTCTTATCTGAAGAAAGGACCAAAAGTCCCTTCAATTTCCTTCATCCTTCAACCATGAAAGAGTTCACTTCATCATTTGAAACAACTTGCAATGCACAGGCACATTGGAAGGTCCCTGATCCAAAGCTCCGTGTTGAGCTGAGACAAACTGTTTGTGACTATGTTCTACCTGCTTATTATGCATTCATGGAGAATCATCCAAATTTAGAGAAGTCATCTGGACGTAGTCTGGAAGACATTAGAAACAAATTGAGTTGTTTGAAGGATGAATTAATACTATTGCCTGTCCAGGCAAAAAATAATTCACTCTGTTTGTTCCCTTCTTTTTCCTTTTCTTTTTTACAGAGGACTTAGCATAGACCATAACAGTGCAACTTGGAATTTCATTTGCAGTCTAACACTTGTAAGCTTCACTAACAATGAATGTAATGACAGGAATGGTTGCATACAATATTTTTGTAATCTCATATGGGACTATCTAGACCTAATTTCACTACTATTTTTTTGAGGGGAAATTTCACAATTTCAAATTATCTAAGCAACGAAAAAACTGCTAAATCATGTAGGCCTACCTGTTGATTTTTCCTCTCCATCTGCAGCCCAGTGTGCTAAGACTAGCAGCCCACAAAAGCTGATGCACAAATCTTAAGGTGTATTGAACAGTCAAGAATTTGACTGATACTAGCTCTCATCAAATGTCAACATATCTATAGAAAAACTGATATTCTTGAGAATTCTTACAAAGCTATTTAATGACAAGTATGATGTTTAGAGTGTTGTTTTATTTTCTCACGGTACACATGCTTGTGACTCAACCTACAACTGATAACTTCACTTTATAGCAATGAAAAAGAGAGAAAATGAAATGTTATCAAAAGCAAGTATGAAGATATCTTTTTAAAAATTGGGTTTCAATGTCAGATCTATACCTGCAATTCAGTAAAGACTTCATATGAAGTCATGGACCATGAATGTACAAGTCAGTCACCATCACATGACTAATTTGTATGGAACTTAAAATCAGAATCAGTTAGTTGTCCAAGGGAAAGGCACTTTATATTATCTAGTGCTTACAGCATGTGAGGTTATACTAATCAGACAATATACTTTGTGGCCACATCAACCGACAAAATAGAGCTTCATACGGATTAGGAAGAAACTGATATGGAGGGTTAACTGGAGAGTTTGAACAAGTAAGAAATTGAAAATTCAGTAGGTGTCTTCTGCAAATGTAAATGTAGGTACAGAGTAAATTCCAGACTAATTATAACAAAAAAACATAGTTGGATTTGGCATCATAGGTTGATTTAGAAATGAATTTGCATCCAGTAATTTAGCAGAAACACTTCAATATAAACTCCATATTAACTGACAGAATTGTCCCAGGAGCTTAACTGCTAAATTTGCCTAATAGAGAAATTTTGAATGTGTCTGTTCGGTTGTTTCTAGAACTTCTTTAGCAACGAATTATTACTGCAACTGTTTAGGCACTAGCTGCTTGTAAATTAAAGCTTAGAAAGGTTTGCGCTCCCATATCTCAACAAATTAGTAGTTCTAGGACAAGAAAAAAATGCTACTCCCTAGAAATTACCACACAGTAGATGGTTGTAATACCACGCAATAGGAGCAACATTCAACCAAGAAACTAGTATGACAAATCCTCTGAGGTGTAGTGTGCACGCTTCTGATTCTTAACACTCCTTCCCAGGTATGCTTGATAACATTGAGTGACTCGGGATGATATGGTTTTTCTCACCACTTGCCGAAGTTTGGGGTCTTCAATTTTCCAGTACTTTTGCACTGCACAATTGTTGTTCAACATTGTGTAAAATTCAGTTAAAGGAGGCAGATGAAAGCAAGGAAAAAGTATGTTCTTCCTTGCAACCAGGCGTGACAGGATTGGTTCCCATGAGTGCTCAAGGTATCTCGCTATCTGATACTCGACCTGGTTGTGGTGCCTCGTAATCCAGCTTTGTTGCAGCGCTGACTTCATGTCTAATTTCTCGAGTATCTCCAATATGAAATGAGCATTGTTTAGTAAGAAAATGCATTGAAACTCTGTTGACTGATACTTTGATATCGTCTCAAGCAAGGAGTCTAGGTATCCGATCAAGGACTGCACAAAATAATCCAGTCGCGTCCATTTCCCATCGTGTAAGGGATTCTCGCTCTCCCCGTCATCTTGAGCGAGAATAACGTTAAGCAAGCTATCATGTTCCCACATATATTTGATATAGTTCATCATATATGAAGTAATATTGTGGATGCCGCCTCCCCGCGGCACACTGTAAATGCCATTTAGAGCTAGTGAACACTGCCCCTGAAAAATCTCCCTTACACACCTCTTGAGCTCACTGGCAATGCCGTTTACCTGGTTGACAGGGAAGATTTCAAGGGTCACGTATAGACGCAAAATAGCAGGGAGCAGATCAGATGACGGTGACAACATAGTCATTACGCCTGCAAGCTTCAGCAGGCGATGCATATCAGATTCTTGTTCTTGCCCATGCTTGCTGTTGATTTCTTGAATGCTCTGATCAATCATTGCCACCAATTCTTCCTTGAACAGTTCGAGCATCCGCGAGTCTGCCCTCTGAATCCAGATACGGATATTTGAGAGATCGAGTCCATCTTCAGGGATGTCCCCCAGAAGTTGCTTATAGATGCGAATACCGGCTTCATAAGAGCACTGCTGATACTGGGAAATAGCAGCTTCCTCAGAGGAGCTTTGGATATCATACGAAGAGGCCAATTCTGTTGTGCTTGTGAGGACAAAAGACATATTTGTTGATGAAGATGTGGAAGCTGGCATCTTGTACCAGGTATCTACCAAGGACAACTCTATAGAACAATATCAAGATTCAGAAAGGAGGAATACTATGAAGTGGCAAGAAACAGTTCTGATGAACTATTATATGATGAGAGGAGGGAAGACACGGAGTTAGTTGGGAAAACGAGTGAAGACTCAGGAAGAGTAGTCAATAAGTCAAACCAATGCACCTCCAATTAAAGAGAATGCATTTTTCTGCAGCTAGTCAAGGTCTTCATATGATTTTTCCTCGTTGCACCCTTCTGTGCAGAAAGATCAACATGCGGAAAATAAAACAATTTTTTCCTACAATTCCTAATCTAATGGACTAGAAAATGGCCACCTCATTCTTTTACTGAACAATAAACAGATTATTATTCTTTGCCTTAGATTATACGATCGATTATTTCCAAACTACGATTTCTTCAAAAACTTTCTACATCAGCATTGCTGAAATAACTTAACCTGAGCTATTTATTAGCTTTATTACATATAATATTTAATTTATCCCTCACTAATCCACCATCCATCATCTTTGCTCCACATTTCATTCATGAACACCCAGAAGTTCAAATGTGCCGAAATAGGCAAAACATGAAACATGGCAGAAGTTTCTGTAGCATTTCTATAGCACCCAGAATATATGAAAAAATAAAACGCACCTTATTTCTCACTGTTCCATGCATCTGTGTTTCATTCCAGAAAAGAGTTCTTCATATTATTCAACAATGGCAGCCGGACATATCCAGAAGGATATATATATTACCTACCACCCCCATCGCCTCCGGTTGCGCAAAGACCTATCTGCGACTGCAGAATCCAGATCCGCCGATTTCTTGGATCCATCCCTGCGGAACAGTAGGGCAAGAGGAGGATTGGAAGTTTGGAACTCGAAAATTGTTTCAAACTGGAATAGGGAATTAATTCCCCTCTCAACAAAAGGGGAAAAAGGAAATGGGGAATACAGATAGAAAACCCTACGAGATTTCGTCTTGATTTCACAGCCGCGGGTACTCTTGCTTCCTGCCTTCCTGGCGATTGAGCTCGCTCGAGAGGATGGAGTTGGGAGACAGAAAGAGGAGAAATTTTGATAATTACAATATTTTTTTTATTCCCATCACTTAGGTCTGTTCAGATTGGTGTAAAAATGAACTATACTTAAAATTTTAGTAATATTACTAATTTGTCAAAATTTTAGCATTGACAATTTTTTGATGTGATTAGCTTAAAATTCTATACACATTGCCAATATTTAATAACAAACTAAACCTAGCCACATAATTATCAATTTTATCAAATAATGGTATGGTTGAAAATGTCATTAATCTGAATAGGCCCTTAGACCCTGTTTACATGGGACTAAAACTTTTTAGTCCCTATCACATCGGATGTTTGGACACTAATTATAAATATTACACATAGACTATTAATAAAACCCATTCTATAACCCTGGACTAATTCGCGAGACAAATTCTTTAAGCCTAATTAATCCATGATTAGCCTATGTGATGCTACAGTAAACATGCGTTAATTATGGATTAATTAGGCTTAAAAAAATTATCACGCGAATTAGATCTCATTTATGTAATTAGTTTTATAAGTAGTCTATGTTTAATACTCTAAATTCATCCGATATAACAGGGACTAAAGTTTAGTCCCTACACCCTCTTAGTCTGAGTTCCTTAGTTTACTTTCCACACGCACGTTTTTCAAACTACTAAAAGATACTATATCTTTTGCAAACAAATTTCTAAACAAAAGTTGTTTTAAAATTCATATTAATTCATTTTTTTAAAAAAATAACTAATACCAATTAATCATGTGCCAATAATTTGCTTCATTTTACGTGCGCGGAGTATTAGTTTCCAACCCCCGAAGCCAAACGTAAGTAGTAAGCCTTACTTGCTCCGTCTCAAAAGGAGTATATTTCTAGAGTTTAAAATATATTTCTCACTTCAGAGCAGTGGTTGCCCTATTGGTTATCTTCCATCCAAATTTCTTTTCATCCGGTCTTAATCATCCTCCTACTTGGATTAAAATAAACGGAAATATAGAGCTTGTTTAGTTTAGTGTTCTACAAAGTTTTAGCGCTATCAGTATTTTGGTAGGCGTAGCATATAATTGATTAGTTTTGTATTGAAATCAATTGGAACCAAATTTCATGATATAGAGAAGAAAGTTACAGAACTGACCAAAATTAAGTATGGGCATTACCATCTACTTCTATTTGATTTCAAACCAAACCATCATACTTACTATTCAAACTACCAAAAAAATTGATAGAGCATATTTTTGTCATCAATTCAAAATGACCCACAATCTCTTTCTCATATCTTAATTTGTGCTAAACTATTTAGAATGATAAGTATAGGATGGGGTTATTAGTATTAGAGGTAGGATTATCTGAGTCTACTGCAGTGACCCATGATTTTCAAATACGATAAATTCACAAATACGAATAATTTCCGTGGAAAAAAAACGTGCACTTGGGAATTAATTTTGTAACACACTACTTCTACGATTAGAGGAAATGTGGGCCGCTAGCAGTTAGAGGACACTACTTAGAGAAGGATTGTCATCTTTGTTGCAGGGATCAGATAAAATATCACTTCTTGCTGTAAGTACTTTTAAAAATATTATATTTCTGTATATTTCCTTGTCTGATTTCTTTTCATTTTTAATGTCTCAAGCCCATTTTAATTTAATTTCCACTTTTTTCCCTACATGATACACTAAATAAGCAAACTACCAATATATGAGCATGTTCTCATAAAAAAACAATATATGAGAACATTATGTTATATTTTTTTAGGGACATAATAATAGACCGTTTCCACTTAACTACATGGCATATATTTACAAGACTAACGCACTTGATGATAAATTTACAAGTAAAAATAAATTTTGTCACAAGGAATGTACATTTAGGGAAACAATTAATTAAGAGAAAGTACTCTGTAACACACTACTTCCACGATTGAGACATGGGACAAAGAGGTTATAGACAAGTGGAATAAGTTCACCGGAGGTCCCTCAACTTAATAGCGAGATTTTTTGAGGTCCCTCAACCAGTAAACCAGAAATGTTCGCCCCTAAACTCATTCAAACCGTTTACTGGAGGTCCCTTGGTAGTATTTTTGCCCGGTTTTACTGACGTGGCATCCTAGTCAGAAAAAAAATTAAAAAAAAATCGTGGGGCCTATATGTAAGTGAGAAAAAATATGGGTTCAACCATTCTAGTCAGCAATCTTCTCTCTTTTCCTTTTTCTCTTCTTCTCTTTCGGCGTGTGCGCACCGCGGCGACCTTAGGCTGGGCGGCGGCATGCGCCTCGACCCACGCAAGAGCATCAGCGGCGGCAGAGGGCGGCGGCGCGTGGCCAGAGCAGATAGAGGGGTGGCATCAACGGCTGCAGTCGGCGGGCGAGCTCGGCCACAGAGAGCGAGCGGTGGCGGCGCGCGGCTAGAGCAGCCAAAGGGGTGCGTCGGCGGCCGCAGAGGGCGAGCGGCGGCGTGCGGCCGGAGCAGGCAGAGGGGCGGAGGACACGGGGTGCGCGGTGGCGCAGATAGGGAGCGGCAACGGCACGCGGCTGGAGGCAGGCGGAGCAGCGGCAGGCGAGCGCGGCTGCGGAGCATCGGCGTCGGCGGGCGAGCGACGGAGGGCGGAGCAGGCAGGCGGCGACGGGCGAGCGCGGAGGGAGACAAGGTCATTGCCGCCGCTCGGAGAGAGGCGAGGTCGTCGCCTTGGGTGCCTCTCGTCCACCCCCGACAACAACGATTACGAGCCCCCCGCGCCGCCGCCCCCGCCCGGGAACAACGATGACGCCTCCGACCGCCTGCCGCCACCTCCTTCTTCTCCCGGTCTCGCCCGCCGTCCGCTCTGCCCGCAGCCTGCCGCCGCTCTGCTGCCTCCTCCTTCCTCTCCCAGTCTCGCCCGCCGTCCGCTCCGCCCGTAGCCCGCCGCCGTCGTGCTGCCACCGCCTCCTTCCTCTCCAGGTCTCACCCACCGTCCGTTCCGCTCCGCTCCGCCCGCCGCCGCTCCGCTGCCTCCGCTCGTCCGCCGTCCGCTCCGCCGCCGCGCTCGTCCGCCGTCCGCTTCGCCTGCAGCCCGCCGTCGCTCTGCTGCCGTGCTCGCCCGCCACCCGCATCCACGCTCGCCATCGCGGTTGTGCCCGCCTCCGGCCTGAAGAAGAGAAGAGAGAGGAGAGAAAAGAGAAGGGAAGGAGAAGAAAAGAGAAGAAAAAAGATGTGTCACTTACATGTGGGCCCCATGAATTTTTTTTAATTTTTTTTGCTGACTAGGATGTCGCGTCAGCAAAACCAGGCAAAAATACTACCAAGGGACCTCCGGCGAACAGTTTGAATGAGTTTAGGGGTGAACATTTCTGGTTTTGTGATGAGGGACCTCAAAAAATCCCGTTGTTAAGTTGAGGGACCTGCGGTGAACTTATTCCTAGACAAGTCCCAAGACTGTTACTTCTCTTGTTGGGCTTTCTCATGCAAATTCCTCATCGAAATTCTCATGTATTTGCGCGCAAAGTTTGCATGAACATGGGCATGACATGCCGACATTTCTTTATATTAAATTGTTGAATGACCGTATAAGTTCTATATATATGCCCGTATGTAGCCATCTTTAATTCTTTTCCCTATATACCGTTTTACAGCTTTATACTAAAGGTTGAATTACTGACAAGTAACAATATAGAAGGGTGAGTTCTATAGAGAAGTTGAGATGGGTTACTTTATCATTTTTACTACGTTTTTTAAACTACTAATCTGTGTTAACTAAAAAATATTTATATGAAAGTTTCTTAATTAAAAAATCAAACAAATTCACTTTTTAAATTTACAATAGCTAGTACAGTACTTAATTAATCATGAACAGGGTGTTCGTTTCAAATTATGATACAAATTTTATCTCAGTTTTCGTTACAACGTATTTTTTTCAAACTGCTAAATAGTTTTTTTTCAAAAGTTTTTATATAGAAGTTGCCTTAAAATATCAGATAAATTTATTTTTTTAATAAATTAATTAAAACTCAATTAGCCTCGTGCTAATAACTTTTTTTGTTTGATATGCTCGTACTTAATCCTCATCCATCGCAGCTTCGAACATGGTTAGTAATAACTCTTCTCGTTTTACATGCCAAAAATCTCTCTTTTAAAATCAGCCTTCATGCGTAGCATGTGGCTCGAAGGGGAGCAGTATGTATAATAAGCTCAAGCTCCAGCACGATTATTATGCCCAGATTTGCTTGTCATCAGATATTCGGATCCAATCCAATCGAATCACACAACCGCCAGCCGGGATACGATATCGTTCCACAGCAAAGTTAATTAGTACGTCATGCTATGATTGTATACTCGACGATCAGTCCAAATCCCAATATGGGAAATTATTTTGTTCTATTGAGAGAATGTTCCCATGTTTGTTTACAAATTATCTAAAGGTTATGAAAATATTCGAAATATTTGAAAACACTCACGCAACATGTATGTGCCACTCCAAAAAATTTTAGATCCAAACTCAACTCACATATCGAGATATCAAAAGATAAATTCAAGCCCTGTTTAGTTCCTCCAAAATAGCAAAAGTACTTTTTGCTAAAATAGATCTAAACACTACTAGCAAAAGTTAGCAATTTGGCATTTGTCATTTGGGAGTCTAGAGTAGCAAATTTTATCAAAAAATGTGTTGGGAGCCGTGCTCTCTCTGCCTTTACTAGTAAAATGGCAAAACTTTACCATGCATCTATCCACTAACTAGCAAAATTTCAATACCAAATCTTTTACCACCAAAACTTTTGCAAAAAAATTTTGCTAAGCACGCCCTCAACGTATACAGCAAATTTATCCTTTTTTTTATTATTTCATTGTTTAGGTGGAATTTAAACTTCATTTTTTTGGTAGATGGATTGATGTCACTATACTGTACATTGTAATTGTTATTCATAAACTTTCACAACTATTTACGTTGGATTTAGAAGAAAAAAAGTTATATGAGAGAATATCGAATTCTCAATGGATTATAATCTATTCCATCGAAATATTTCTCTTTAGTTGGAGAGAGGAGGTTGGTGAGACAAGTTGGGGTTTTGGTTTGGTTACCTTAAATGAGTAAAGTGGTGCTGGTAGCCTGGTACTACTAGTAAACCGACGATAAGAACACATGCCAACAAATGACAGTTAGCTAGCAGCAGCAGCACAGCACACAAACGACACGACAACCCAACAACACTCGCGCAGATGAGAGTGAGACTAGTCTGACCAACCACCCTCCTCTCCAGCTCTCCTCCACGAGTGGTTGGTTCGTTGAGGGTGACGCGCGCCAGACGCCATCATCATCCTCCCTATCGGAGAGGATGTTTGGACACTAATATTAAATATAGACTAATAATAAAACTTATTCCATAACTCTGACTAATTCACGAAACGAAATAATTAATCCATGATTAGCCTATGTGATACTATTGTAAACATGTGCTAATTATGGATTAATTAAGATTAAAAAATTTATCTCGCGAATTAGCTCTCATTTATGCAATTAGTTTTAATACTCTAAATTAGTGTCCAAACATCCGATATGACAGGGACTAATGTTTAGTCTCCGGATCCAAACGTCTCAACTCTCAGGACAAAGCTTGTCCCGTACTAGGAATCAGTGGCACAGAAGGTGTCGAATTATAAAAGGAAAAAATACGAATTACCCCCTAAACTATTGGGTGAGTACGAATTACCCCTCTAGACATGAAAACCGGACGTTTTTTTACCCTCAACTATCGATACTGAATGTCCCCCCCACCCCACCCCCCCGCGAACAGTTTTGCAAGCGATTTTGGTCTACGTGGCTGTCCAGTCAGCAATTCATTTTTTTTAAATCAGCGAGCCCCACCTGTCAGTCTCCCACCCTCTCGTTTTCCCTCACCTCTCCATCTCTCTCCAAAATCCACTCTCTTCTCCCTCCCTCACCTCGAGGACGGCGGGCAGAGCTCGGGGCGACGAAGGGGACCGCGGAGCTTGGGACGGTGGCAGGAAGAGGTCGGGACGATGGCGGGTGGAGTGGGCTGTGGAGGGGACGGCGGCGGGTAGAGCTCGGGGCGGCGGAGCTTGGGACGGCAGCGTGAGGAGGGGTGGCGGAGGGGACGGCAGAGGACAGAGCTCGAGACGACGGCGAACGGAGCTGGGGGCCGAGGGGGCGACAGAACTCGGGGCGGCGGATGGCGGAGCTTGGGGCGACAGAGGGGGCGCTTGCAGCCACCGGCGCTGGGGACGACGGCGGGCGGAGCTTGATGCAAAGGGGGCGACGGAGCTCGGGGTGGCGTAGGGGTGCCCGCAGCCACCGGCGCGCGGCTCGTCGAGGTAGCGGAGGGGACGCCCGCAGCCAGTGGTGCTCGGGGAGTTGGAGGGGGCGGCGGAGGAAGCTCCCGCAGCCACCGCTGCGCGGCTCGTTGAGGCGACGGAAGGGGCGTCCACTGCTGTCGGTGTTCGAGCTGCAGCCACCAGCATTTGAGAGAGAGAGGGTGGGTGAGAGCGAAAGAGATAGAGTGGAGAAATATCTGACAAGTGGGCCCCATCATTTTTATAATAAAAAAATTGCAGCTGCCATACCATACCACAAGAGAGGGTCCGCCACTAGACATGGCGCATCCTAATACATCAAATCAGGGGCTTGTCCAGATTCGTTGTAATGTGTCTCATTTTGTACTAGGTTTGTTTTTTTATGGTTTGGAGGGAGTAAATACCATACATAACTATTTGCTAGAGTCTGTAAATAGCTTGGAAAAAACTAATTAATTGTCCTTCAGCTGTTTATTTTTTTCTTCCATGTAGCAAGCATTTTAGCTATCAAACTGAAAATTAATACAAATATTTAATATTAAAACTATAGGTTCTAGCTAAGAATCTGGACATAACTAAAAATTCATTTTTTTATAGATTTGGCAGGCAGTAGGGGCTACTCAGGCCAGCTGCTCAGCTCAGGCTCACCTTCTCCCCCGCTAGGATCGCCACGGCTACGAATAGTATTGTTACACCATAATAAGCACGTTACCAAATGTACGATCACATTCGGTGTAACCACGAGTTGGAAGATTATCATCACCATGTAGCTAATCTAGCCCTATTACGTACCAAGGTTGTCGTTGGAAATTTGGTCATAAATCGACATATTTTAATTCAGAAAATTAAGATACTAAGCATTACAGGTACATAGTTGAATGATCTAGTGAATGTATATTAAACATGAGCATGCTTTTGAAAATATAAGCATAAACATCAAGTATATTCACATATGATTGGCATGATGATAAACATGAATATACTAACAGGAACTATGGTATCTAACAGCAAGTTTAAAACGAGGATGAATATATCCGGAGAATGCTCCAGTACTAGTTGAGACATTGTTGGTGTTGTTGCCTCCGTTGGTATTGCCGTTCTTACCTTCTCCAGTACTGGTGCGGGTGTTGGTGTCGGTGTTGACGGTCGACATGGCGTTGCAGAGGAAGGAGAGCCTGACAAAGAGGATGCAGCGTAGTCAAAGCAGAACAGGAGCAGTCCGCCGAGACGCTCCCCAAAAACTTGTTCGTTTTACCTACCCGTGTAGATTCTCAAGCAGACAGCGTTTCGGAGGCACCTTCTCATCCCGTGTACCTGTGTGCATAGGTGAATAGGACCAGGGAAGCGGTGGCTAGCGCAGGAATAGAGGCACAAAGAGTTTCCGAGGAAGAGTAAGCGAGAGAAAGGAAGACACAGAGCAGCTGAGGTGTGTCAGCTGTCTGTCCCGGTGGCGGCCTTTTATAGTGCGTGAGAAGGAGAGAAGAATCAATACGTTACTGCAGTAACAACGGAATCAATCTGATTTAAGTCAGGATTGATTCATTCGTTATAGGAGTAATCGCACCCATATTGAAATCGTATCAATTGCGATTTAAGTCGGGTAATCGTGCACGTATTGAAATGGTATCAATTGCGATTTAAGTCGGGATTGATTCATCCGTTATAGGAGTAATCAAGCCCATATTGAAATCGTATCAATTGTGCTGAATGAATTGGATTCAATTCTTGTCCGTTGCAAAATTTACAAGAGAGAGAAGCAGTCGCCGCCTTCCTCGCCACGGCCCAGCCCAGCTCGTGCAAGCGCGTGCGGCAATCCCACCACCATCTCAACCGGTTAACAGGGGCTCTCTGATAGCTTCCTGTTTAAGTTGAGATCTTCCCCACTTAAATTTCTAAGGTGATATTAATCCCTATAGTAGGGTCTAGCCTATTTATTCCATCAGTTGTCATCATTTTTAAAAGTAGATAGTTATGTCCAAATTTGTATCTGTTTTTTTTTTTACGGAGAGAGAGTACTATACTACTCCTACTTCCCTTCTAAATAGGTATGTCCACATTCATATTTGGAAGTGAAGTTGAGTGCATTGTAACTGAAAGGATCGAGCCAACAAACCACAACCGATATAAAGTACAGTTAGCAGCAGCACCACCACAAACCAAACGACAGCACAACAGACTCGATGGTAAGACTATTCTATGTCCAACTCACTTTCCCTCTCCCTCATCGAGTCATCGTCGCGTCGGTTTAATTTTGCTTCCTTGAGAGTGACGCATGGCCGACGCCATCTACTTCGTCAGGTCTCTGTCTCTCTCTCTGCCTGCTTGCCACTGCCTTTCGGTGGTTCGTGGTAGGTGACAGACATGGCCGCGCCGCAGCAAGCAGCACGAGCACGAGCAAGCACCAACGCGCGCCACACTCCGGCTATTCGAAATTTGATATCATAGGGTTTGAAATTGTGCGAGTAAAACTTTATAGTGAACTTAACGTTTATTCTACAGAATTGCTAACCTTTATTCGGGAGAAATTTGAGATGAATTATATTTATGTCAGATCCTCCTGTTGGAATCGTGTCATGATTCGTGCTGCACTTCTTTTTCGCCGGCTCGGTGCGATGGTGAGAACTCCGATGAGATAAAGGCGGCCCGACCAGCTAGAGTGCTGAGTTGAGGTAAGAGTGGAAAGGGGTCAGGGAAAGGGGAAGAGGGTTGCAAGCTTAGAGAGTGATGGTTGTGGAACACGGCGGAACGGGCGAGCGGTGAGGTGGATGCTACCGAAACCACAGGGTCGACAGCATGCGTGGATCAATGTTGACATCAGGGGCAAAGCAAAGTGAGTAGTTAAGAAGTGGGAGAAACGGTGGCATCTCCGGCGGTGGGAATCCACCAAAAACAGGGAAGAAGGGGTAGGGGCACCGTCACCAGCTTAAGGAGGAGAGGCGAAAAGGGGTGAGGGGGAAGTGCGATGGAATGTATGGCAAGCCCTGTCGGTATGGTTGCTTCTTTTCTGACGCCGATGAGGCCAGGTGGCAGTGCAGTAGGGGCGATGATAGCTGGGATCGGGCATAGGGAGTGTACTCGATTGGTCAAGATTGGGTGGCACAGTCGTGGTAACATGAGGCGGAGAAAGAGAGTTAGGGTTTAACAGATGCATGGATCTTAAAACAAATTTAACGATCCAAAAAATATCAAATGTGGGATGAAATTTTCTGTCACATAGTAGTATTAAATCAGCAATACCTTTTATTTAAGACATGTTTAATTTATTGACACTTTCAACTTCGCTAAATTTCGGTAGGACAACAAACTACACACATTTCAACCATTACTACCTTACAAAATTTTGGCAGTTATTAGAAGCTTTCTCTCGTAACACTCTAACCGAATTTAGCAATGTCATCGAAGCAAACGAAATCAACACCGCCAAAATTTTGTAGTGTCAAAATATGTACAAATCTCGCATTATCAAAATATGCTATGGTTGATTTGGGAAACAAAATAAACCAGCCCTTAATCCTGCCACTGTTGAAGCAAACTTTAGGGAGTTTTCAACGCAAATAAGCGCAGTTCTCAAAAGAAAAAAGAAATGCAAATAAGCCCGTACTCCCAGTCCCACGGTCCCACCGCGGCTGTCGCCGTGGGGCCCGCTATCCGACTCTTTTCTTTCGCTTTCTCGCTGCCGGCCGGGGAGACCTCGTCCACACACGCCAACGGCCGGCAGAGGGGTGGGGGGTGTGGGGCCCACCATGTCAGTGGGCGCTGGGCCGCGTGGTTGTGTGCTCCGTTTGTCGTGCTCCGCGGTGCAACGTCGTTTGAGGTGGGCCCCGCACCGCCGGGATCCGCTGCGCCTGGAGGGAACAGACCCACTTTGTTGCTCAGGTGCACGCGTGCAGCCGCACACCGCCGGACAGAAGGAACTACTCCGTCAAAAAAAAAAAAAACTTATATATGTCCAAATTCAAACTCAGTATTAGATTTTTTTGACAGAGGGAGTACTCTGCTAAGTTCATTTCCAAGCTTTCTCAACTCACCCCTCTTTTTTAGCGCGCATATTTTTAAAACTATTAAACAATACTCTCTCTGTCCTAAATTATAAAGACATATTTTTTACATGGTCTTCAATAACATATCTTGACTAGTATTTTATTACATTCTATGATCCCAATAAATATGAAATTAGCATCACATGAAAGTACTTCAAAATATGAATTTAATGACATAACATGTATAATATTTACTATAGATATAGTTAGGCTGTGTTTTTACCTTTAAGTTCCCAACCCCTCTCACTCATTTTCCGCGCGCACTTTTTTAAACTGTTAAATGATGCGGTTTTTTAAAAAGTTTCTATATATAAGTTGCTTTAAAAAATCAAATTAATATATTTTTTTAAAAAAATTAGCTAATACTTAATTAATCATGCAATAATGCATGCTTCGTTTTGCGTGCCGGGGAGGAGTGGTTCCCAACCCTCCTCCCGAACATCAAGGTTCCCAACTTCTCCTCCTCGTTTTCCGCGCGCACGCTTTTCAAACTGTTAAACAATGATTTTTTTGCAAAAAAGTTTCTATACGAAAGTTGTTTAAAAAATCATATTGATCCATTTTTGAAAAAAAAAATTAACTAACACTTAATTAATCACACATTAATGGACTACTCCATTTTCCGTGCGAGAGGGTAGGGTTCCCAACCACTGGGAACGAGCACAGCCTTAGTATGGTTATTAGTCAAAAGTTACCGAGTTTGATTTTCCTTAAAAATGGGGCACTATATAATTTGGGACGGAAGGATTATGTTTTTCGTAAAAATTTAATATAGAAAAGTTGCTTTAAAAATCATATTAATCTATTTTAAAAAATAGATTAATACTCAATTAATCATACACTAATAAATTGCTCCGTTTTACGTGCGTGAGGGATTAGTTTCTATCCCCAAGTGCCCTTAAGCACCGTACTTTTAAGTTTTTAAATAAAGCTCTTGTACTACCTTCGTCCTATGATATAGCAACCTAATATCGGACGAGACATATCCTAATACTACAAATCTAGCCATGTTTGCTTGTCCAGATTAATAATATTAGGATGTCTCGTCTAGTATGTACTAGGTTGCTATATTTTGAAACGGAGATAGTAGTATACTCCCTCCTTCCTAAATTGATCATCATATAATGGAATTCAAAATTTCTTAAATTGATCATTATATAACCGCATGAACACTGATTTTATCATAATACAATTAATACAGCATGGGAGAATGTGTGCATGGTGTCTTGATTAATGTGATTTAAATTATCCTTGGTCTTGGTGCATAAACATATATGATGATCATTTTTGGAAAGAAGGGAGTATTATTTTAGTATCAGATGAGACACATTCTAATTTTACGAATCTGAACAGAGTCTATTCATGTTCATAATACTATGATGTGGCAAATTCGGTGCTATATTGTTATATTCTGGATAAAGGTAGTATAAGTCATATAACAATATCAAAAATATATTTTATGCTACGAGTATAGGCACGAGAAGACCGCTTCACGCGGAGAGCTATCGCAAAGCCGATAGCGGTAAAAAATTTCCCCTCTTCCCTCTAGCCTCTCTTCCTACTCAAATATGGCGGTTCACCACAGGTAAAGGGAGGGGGAGAAGTCAGTCTACCTTCTCTGCTAGGTAGTAGTAGGTATAATCGGGCTTTTCCTATTTTCTAGTCCAACCCATTTCTTTTGTGCAGTGCAAGAAGGTCGTCGGTGTTCGGCCTCCCTTATCCCAAGAACTCTAGAACTTGTTGGGCTCCTCTCAAACAAGGTCTTCTATATGGGAATCATTGGGTCTCTCCAAGACGTCAAAAACTGAAGGAGCAATAGATCTTCTCGGGTTGGTGGTTTCACCCTCAATCACAACATCAACCAGGTAGCGCTGACCCACTTCTCCTTCTCCGGCGATCTTCTAATTCTGTCTTTGGTTCTCTTATTTTTCTCTAGCGACGGTCTCAAAGCGGCAGCAAAGTTTTCCCATGATGCCAAGGCAGCTGTAACCTCCATCTTCAAGAGGCCCCATCCGGGTCTACTACTTGGCAATTTGCAGCTTGCCATAATTTTTGCGAATTTGCAGTCTTTGCCGTCATCGATCAAGGTACAGATGCAGAGGAAGAAGCAAGATTATGGATGTCATGGTTATGGATACCACGTACCTAATAGTAGTTGACTAAGCTCGGCAGGGCCCATTATGTACCAAGTCTTATACGGAATCATACCTCGTATATAGAAGGAGTTCCGGATAAGGAAGGATGAATAGAGTTCTATATGGAAATGACAAGGACTACCCGGATTGTATCCATATTGGTCTCTCTAGTTCTACTTGGACAAGGGGACATCTATGGGTATAAGTGCGGATTCGATGAGGAAGACTACCCTGTCATCGACTACG